ATTTTCATTAGCATTTCGGTAGCTGGAGTATTATTATTTAAAAAAACATATTCACTCGCGTATCGCACGGGGTGGCGTGCGGCTCGCCCATCGTGGTTTTGTTCGTTCCACATAAATCAACATTGTAATTTTTGCTAATTCAAAGCTTACATAAAAACGGTTTCGTGCTGTCTTTATTGTGTAACGCAACTACTGGTTCCACGGTTAGGAGAATAATAATGAAGTTACGAGAAGTGAGAACATGGAAAGTGTATTAACAGTATTTAGTTGCAAAACAGTATTTCAATGAATGCGGATCGCCGCGCCCGGAGTAAATGCTTGGATTTTCAGTATACTTCACTTCAACGTCCGCCATTTATAGTTTGGTTAATTTATAAAATCTCGAAGTGAAATTAAAGTTGTATTTGAAAATTTTAAACAATTAATTATAGCAGTGTTTGCTCCTATTAAATAGGGAAATTTTAGATAAGGACGATAAGTATTTTTTGGGATTTAAATCGCGTTAAAATTTTCATTAAAATGATTACGACACTTCAAAATGGCGATTAGATAACAATTGATCGAATACAAAGTCAATGGGCCGACCAGTGGTCCTCAAAGTGCAAGTACTTAAATAGACCAGTGCTTGTCAAAATGGAAGCACTTCAACAGAGTCACGACGACTTGTATCTCAGCATGGTTTATTATACAGTGATTTGTGATATAATTAACGTGAGCGACTAATAGTTGGACAAAAATAATATTCCAAATGCCTAATGACAAAGGAATCGTTAATTTGGTCAATATAGAGGTAATTGGGAATTATTGAATATTTTTTCCAACTCATTCAAAATCCTTAATGTTGTCTTTTCAAAATCAGTCCAATTAACTTTTTAAACAAACAATATTTTATGGCTTCAGCCTTTGATACAAAATGCTGTACGGACTACGTTCCTTTTGCATGCCCAATGAACAAATAGAACAAAAAGTTTATAGATATTAAAAATCGAATCTTATTAGGGAAAATTAAACAAAGCCGCTGGACGTAGCTTCTCGAGATCCTCCAAAAAGTCCACTAAAAGAAGTTTTAGTAAATATCCACCATTTTACTGAGATCTACTATATATAGTATACTACTACTACTACTACAGAGAGATACTATGTTTCATCCCGTCTCATTTCATTTCATTGCATGCCAATTGACTAATGTTCCAAATTAATCAATTTCATGTGACGCCATATTATCAGGCTGTATCTTTGCCTTTCTCATTGGAAAAATAGAACTACTACTACGAATCTAAATAGCTATGTCAGTGAAGTCCTTTTGGATTATTATATTTTATCCTTTTGGATTATTCATATACTATAAGATATACTCTATCGAATTTATTAAATAGAAAGTCGCTTTTTTACAATAAAATCATATTTTTTACACTATTTTTAATTCAAATTTATTAAAAACTTTTTTCTATTTTTTGAAAAAAAAAAAAAATTAGTTACAATTTTTTTTTCTTTTTTATTGTATTGTCATCGGTCCTTAATGAGTACCAAATTCCGAGTTAATCGGACGTTTTGAAGGGGGTCAAAATCATGTTCAAAGATTCCGTTACAAACATACATACATACGTCTGAAGCTAATAAAAGCGTATTAAAAAGAGGACATGCTGAGTAAGGGCATAATAGGGGTAGGAAGAAGAAGAAGAAGAAAACGAAGAATAGCTATCTAATACAAATACTTCTTACGTTATTGCATTCGTGTATGAGTTTGTACGTAGGACAGTGGAAATGATTAAAGAACCACAGCGTTTATTGGATGAAAAAAATAAAATTACTAGCTTATCACTTCTTCGGCTTCGCTTTTAAAGATAATGTAAAAATACCGACTGGTCCATTGTCAAATCTAAATGTTCGATTTATTATTGATTTGAACGCCCTAACTACGAGTAGTAGTGCGTTTCGGTTTGAAGGGTGGGGCAGCCGTTGTAACTATACTGAGACCTTAGAACTCTATCTCAAGGTGGGTGGCGCATTTACGTTGTAGAAGTCTATGGGCTCCAGTAACCACTTAACACCAGGTGGATTGTGAGCTCGTCCACCCATCTAGGTAATAAAAAAAAAGTTACCAACGGTATCTTATTTGTTTCATAGTAATGATTGAGCCGGTATGTATTCCGTACGCATAATAATTCGGGGATTTATGAATCCCTTCGCTATACAAGGCTCCTGATTTGCATAGTGTTCGCGCTGAGCTTAGGGGTTCGTATTGAAATAGCGATATAGTTATATTACGTAATTGCTGAATAATCTCGTTTTAATTTTTTTAAAGTTGTTATAGTTAAATTTGCTGACGGGAATTTAGGTAACCAGTTTTTTTTCTCAAAATTTTAAAAATGATATAGTCATAAGTCATATAATGTAAATGTTAGCAACAATCCCGGTTTGAGTCCCGTGAGCTCACCTATACGTCAAGAAGAAGCTGAAATAGCCTCTCAAAGCTATCAGCATATGTAGGAAAAAAAAGTAAAATCTATGTTATATTGCTGTACTGTTGATGACGCTTTTGATTACATATCGGTAATTTTATTAAAAGTTTCGCTTAAACATTCTAACTTACATTGTAATTGGTCAATTTATTTTTGAACGTGCGTTATCTCTCAACTAATGTCTACTTACCCATTTCATGGTTTCCTTGACGTATTGTTTTAAATAGGGTATAGTGACAGAAAATGATTTGATTGGTAGTATCATAGTTTCTATTTTAATCACAAAGCAGCCAGTTCCGGTCTGACGGTACAAAACATAAAAAAGTAAGAAATATTGGATACCGCCGAATAGTGTGTGGAGTTCTTTGTCACAACTAAAAAAACAAAATCCAAATATGCGTCGGTAAGGGACGTAACTGAGAGACGATAAAAAAAAAAAACAAAATTACTAGACAAAATAACTCATTACCACGATTTTGTAATTATTTACCGTCTGGGTTCCTTCGAGAATCTTCGATACTTATTCACGATTAAGCCTGGGTATAAGATTTAATATTTATTATACGATTTCCATTACTCATTCGATATTACTGGTGACGACACTGAACTTCAGTAACAAAAAGTTATTATAGTATATTATAACCAGAAAGTTACTTGAAGAAACGATTGTGATATCTGTAGCGACATCTATCGGTTTTATGTTTCCGCGTTTCTTACACGATTGTATTTCAAAGTCTAAGTAAGACATCTGGTAGATATTTTAAAATGTATGACGTTGCACGAGTATAAATCTACTATTAAAGTACATTTTTACATTTAAATTATATCAAAAACAAATAAGCCGTTTCTGCAGACCTTACAAGCTCACAATACGTTGTGTCTTTTCTAATCGTCTATTTTATATTGTTAAGATGGGTGGATGAGCTCATAACCCACACGCTGATAAGTGGTCACCGGAGCCCACAGATATCAAATAAATGTGGTCACCCACTTTTAGGCATGGCTTGGAAGTCTCCGTTTTTACAGTACAATGGCGGATACAACCTTCAAATCTAAACGCATTACTGCTTTACAGTGGAAATAGGGAGGATGGTGAAACCTACCCGAGCGGGCTCACAAGATTTCCAAACACTAGCTAGGCATATCGTATGACCGTTTGTTAATGTCAAAAGAGTATTTTAAAAAAAAAAAACTTTATGCTTCGCTAATGCTCCCATATTCTTTAGATAACAAATCATTCTACATACTTGGACTAAAAAAGTAACATATTGCGTGATACTGTAGACAAATATGAGGCAGTCGAGATAATTCCATTTGATACATTGACAACGGACATTCGGTTTCTGTTCGCTGTTCGTAAGGCCTTTTTATGGGTACTTTAAGTCGGTTTTTATTGCATACACTGTTCGTCCTTATATGATATTTTACCAGCGTAAAACACGAAACAGCATTTATTCCCTTTGAACTTGAATCACAAAAAATACCTTTAAAAGAATGCTTTTTGTTTTNGGTTCACTTCTCATCCTCTTGGGGTCTGCCATTACTGACAGACCCACACGTCTGACCATGATGTGGCCACGCCGGCGTACCGGTACCCCCCTCTGGAAGGCCTTCCCCTTTAGCAACCAGAGAGCTGCCGGGGACATGGCCTAGCATCCAAGAAGGCTCCAGAAGGGAGCCCTCTCCCGCTTCACGCACCCTTTGTCCACCAAAGGTGGGAAACGGGAACACGGTGTGCAGTCTTCTTTGTTCACGGCACCCCTGTGCAGACAACGCTGCTCCACGGTATCGGGGTGCACGCTTAAGCCCCACCGCCGCGACAAGGCGAGACCACGTTCGGTGGGGAGCAGACATGTATTGGGAAAAGTTCATTGTTTTTCAATATTGTTATTACCTTGAATGTGGGCATAAATTACATTACTGGTGGTAGGACCTCTTGTGAGTCCGCACGGGTAGGTACAATCACCCTGCCTATTTCTGCCGTGAAGCAGTAATGCGTTTCGGTTTGAAGGGTGGGGCAACCGTCTTAACGCATTTACGTTGTAGATGACTATGGGCTCCAGTAACCACTTACCACCAGGTGGGCTGTGAGCTCGTCCACCCATCTAAGCAATAAAAAACAAGGGTGCGTGTACTTATGTACGCGCGTAAGAACTTATACTTTATTTTTATTAAATTTATTTCTTTTTTTGTTTATTTAAATTTTAATCAATTTGAAGAAAGATCGATTAAACAACATCCTCAAACACGCATATTGGACATTTTTTTTCTTGACATCGTATAGATTCGGTAATTCTCGGTACGGTTCGGAAAGTTCACTTGCGACTATATTCAGACTCGCCAAGCTACGTCGGTCGTATTGTAATGAGCGATTTAGTGGGCAACTTCATTCTGTTAATTTTGTGTCACGGTGCGCGCGCATCGTAAAATTTCACTCTCATCAATTTTTCAAAACGCGTCTAAAGAAGTATAACTTCAAAAAAATTATAATAATAAGGAGTTCCCTTTGTGTACTATTTCGTACGTTGTGCGTTACAGTGTGCAGCTGGGCGCGCGGCGTGGCAAGAGGCGGCGGCGCTATCGGTGGGGGGAGGCGGCGCGGGCGCAGGAGGCGCGGCACGGCGCTGCTCTGTCCTGGGCGACCACCCCGGCGCCCGCCGCGACCCACGTGGGAAATGGCATCGAAACAATCGCGTACGTAGTTTATTGTCTTTCCTTTGTCGTATCACTCTTGTCAGAACGGTCGTGGTCGTCATCCAGCACCATTGCTGTGGGCAGATGTTATGCGCCTTACGAGCAATCGCCACTCCTCCCGGTGTGGCGAGCCTGGTACACTCATGCAAACAGCCGCCAACTGCCGACTTGATCTGGTTGGTCCATCGCATGGGCAACCTTCCACGCGGTCTGGTGCCTTCTACTTTGCCCTGAACGACAAGGCGCTCTATGGAGTAATTTCCTCGCCGGGAGACATGTCCAAAAAATTATTTTCGAAATCATGTTTGGATTGGATCGAATAGGATCAAATCGACGGGTAAAAGGCGGTTTGGTTTACGCGCCATTTTCGTAACTTTACCGGAGGGAGCCATTTAAAGTTTAAAATTTTGAAAAAATATCATGACAAAAATATCTTCAGCTATTTGAATAGGGTAAAGATAATTGTATTTTAATTAAAAACATCGTATTGTCGATGCGTATCTATACATATAAATAAAATTGGAGTGTCTGTTTGTAATATTGAAATAACCGCTTTTTACTACATGCATGTGAATATATAGACGGTACATACACCAAAAAAATTTTTTTTACAATTTTTGTCTGTCTGTCCGTCTGTTTGTTCCGGCTAATCTCTGTAACAGCTGGACCGATTTTGACGAGAATTTGATTGATAGGTAGCTGATAATTTAAGGAGTAACTTAGGCTACTTTTTTTAGACTAACTTCGCCCCGCGGCGTCATCGCGGTACGACAATAAACGTGGGTAGGTAACATCGCGGGACTCGGCTATCATCAATAATAAAATTTAATATTTCCGAAGCGAAGCGAGGGCGGATCGCTATTACTAAATAAAACCTTTAATTACAAAGATAAATGTGGCTTATTAAGCGAAATGTCTCTTAAATCAAATAGCCTTTCACTCCTCGAAATGATGTAAAAATCTTAAAAACCAAACAAGTCTAGTAGTAGTAGTAGTAGTATTGGGAAAATATAATACTTGACGGAAAAACTTAATTATCATGTTCTTTTACTGATATTGGCCTCTGAAGCGAGACTTCTCTGTCACAGCTCGCGCTGATTAGTATCACACCAGCGATATCTAGGGTGACCCACCGGCCTACAACTCTATTTCGAATATCCTCAAAAACTAAATTGGTGGTAGTATATCTTGCGAGTCCGCACAGGTATTTACCACCACTCTGCCCATTTCTGCCGTGAATCAGTAATACGTTTCGGTTTGAAGGGTGAGGCAGCCGTTGTACTGTAAAAACTGAGACCTTAAAACTTATATCTTAAGGCGAGTGGTGGCGTTTACGTTGTAAGGCTCCGGCAACCACTTAACACCAGGTGAGCCGTGAGCTCGTCCACCCACCTAAGCAATAAAAATAAATAAATAAAAGAAAAAAGTGTGTGTGTGTGTGCAAGTCACACACGGTAGAAGTGAAACTTATAAATAAGATATAGAAATAGATATACTGACTATCCTACTACACAGGAACGTACATATTATGGACAATGTTTAGTAGACGATAGTGGGGATGCTACGAAGAGTCGCATAAAGAGGAGACCGAGAACGTCTAATATGTTCTATCTCATTCTCTCGCCGGCTGAATCCTATACATTTATGTGTTTGTGTCTCTATGGACTTATTTTTTCGTTTCATCGAGTGTGAAATTATAATAGTTCTAAAGAAGTTTCACTTCAAAAAGTTCTCATTGTGCGATTGCTCTGTTGTCTTTTAGGTCCGAGACGCATCATATGGGTCATCATCAGACTCCGACGGCGAGTTGGAGGGCATCAGCGGCGAGCCCTGGGGTGTCGCGAGACTACTGTATGCTGGTCTGGCTACTCTGGCCGTCGGTCTCGTTGTTTACTTCGTTGGCACCGGAGACAAGGTATACTCAATGTGGTGGTAGCTATCATATTATATTTGACAGCTGCCTGAATCTCGGTAGGTAACGATATTTTCAAGATAAGTTTGCATATATACAAGCCCCGAATATAATAACATTCGGACCCTCGGTATACCGAGCAATTTCGCGCGCTCGGTGGAAGATCTTCCCTTTGTCGTTAGCCCTCAAGTCTACATCAATTATCTTACTGGTTCAAGAGAAATTGTTCAAAAGTAACCCGCAGATTGTGCTTCTAAGACTGGTTGAGCAATATGAGCGGAAAAAGAGAAGCAATTCGGCGTCTGAAATGACATCAGGATGATTGTAGTTCAGTTGGCCCAACTACTTGATAAAGAGCGTCGATGATGCATCCATCCTTCCAAGTGTTCACTCTGGGGTTCTAGCGCTGAAACAGCAGACGCGTTGCCGCCCATAGGTTAATGATTCTCTTTTACAATATTAGTTCCTTTTACTAACGTTTTAGGGTTTCAAAACGCCGGCCCTACGGCTGGTGGGGCCTTCGCTCATTGTGGCGGGTCTTGCGTGTTGTCTCCTTCGTATCGCCTTTTGTATATTCGCCAAGCCCTGCTGTCGTCGACGGACCAACTACAAGGAGAGCAGAAGGTGAGTTTAATAACATACTAATGCGGCGCGCGTCGACTTCTCTGAACGTTATTGTGTGTGATAAGTTACGAATAAAACTAGACTAGTACTACTAAAGTATTTTCTCTGGTTTTTATGAGCTGAATATAAAGTAGGGGGAAGCACCAGCTACGTCTTGAGGGGATTAGGAAAAATGCTGGATGGACCGAAATTGGGTAGGTTCATCAAGTTGCATGTTCTACGCGCTGCTTGATGAGGTTGATATGGACGGATTTAAATTAATTTAATTTAAAAAAAAAAGTACTAATATAGTTCTCAAGTTATTTCTAATACTAACACAGTATGAGCCTATGATGCTTCGAAATAAAAGTTTTTTTTTATATAATAAATAATATATACATGGGTACATACAGTGGTGGTCAAATAATTAGAAACACTTTTTATGAGTAAAGAAAGTATAACTCCAACGTAAAAATGTTCGTAAAAAATATACACATTCAATATCAATCAATCAATTATGCAATAATACATATAGCTACTGTAATAAAAAAATCATAAAATATAAAACCTAAATTGCTTTTAATTACAAAATGAGTCTTCCACATGTAGGAGATTATTTTCTGTTACTGGCCGCTTGGACGCATAATTAAAAACATTTTACAAAAGCATCTATCCTTAGCTCGTTCTTTTTTTGAAATTGGAGAATAATAATTTTACATTATTCTCCAATTTCAAAAAAAATATATTAATATTTTTATATTGCATATTATAATGAATATTTTATTAATTTTTGTTATGTAACTGACATTTTGAAAAAAAAACTGATTTTCATTTAGCTACTGAACAGCACAGTGTTATTTTATTATTAATAATACACAAAAAAGAAAATCGGCCAATAAAATTTTTAGAATTTTTTATTTAATTTTTACTCTTTTTGATTGTCGTGTTAGACTGTCTGGCTGTGTCGAGGGAGAAGAGATGCCTTTGGCGGGGAGCGGGTCCCGGGGAGTTGGGCCCGCGCAGTGCTCGCCCGCGCGACGCCTCGACGCCTCCTCCTGCGACGTGTCCAGCCTCTCCAGCGGGGAGGAGGACGAGCGCATGCGACGGTATCGCACCGCATCGCTGCATCCTCCTATTTTACACCAGGTAGTGTGGCTAACTACGTAAATAGACACACGTGTTCTCTTGCTGCCAGTCGAATGAGACATCGTTTGCTTTACGATTGACGTCACTGTATCGATATGTACAGAGCTGGTATACAGTATAGAGTAAGGTTTGATTACGGATTATAAACTATTCCCGTGTCTAGTATTAACATATCGTCATTTATTACTTACTAGCGACCCGCCCTCACTTCGCTTCGGAAACATTAAAACACACATGAAACCAAACAAATATATAAAAAAAAAATAAAAAAAAGTAGCCTATGTTCATCAGGGACAATGTTGGCTTCTAATGGAAAAAGAATTTTTCAAATCCGTCCAGTAGTTTCGGAGCCTATTCGAAACAAACAAACAAACAAATCTTTCCTCTTTATAATATTAGTATAGACTAGATCTATTGTTCTGACGCTGACCTTATTCTTATTCCAGTAGAGTTATGGTATAATGTTTCATAAAAGGAATTTCTCTGCCAAGAAAGAAATCACTTAATCGCTTTTAACTAACACATCTCTATTTTATTTATAAAAATATGATGACACAGTAGCTGAGTGATAATTTTGAGCGACACGCCCGATAGACAAAAACAACAAAAAAAAGAATACAAACGACCAGAAATCAAGTTTAAATTTTTGCCAACAAAAAAAAAACATACGAAATTATTAGGTAGGTAGTATTTAATGATTCAAACGTGACACTGTAACAACTTTCATTGTAACTAGCGTACTGCCTTTTTCGTTTCAGGTCATGGCGCATCAAAATGGCGGACAAAGCGGCCATCGGTTGTCACCACAAGGCACGTTGCGACACAGTCCGTCCCCGCAGAGCGCGGCTCGGCACACGCCGTCACCGCACAGCACTATGCACCACAGTCCGCCGACGCAGGCCGCCGCCTTGCCCGGTGCAGCGGTGCAACAAAGTGCAATACCCAGCGCAGTGCCGCTAAGCGCTACGTTACCAAGCGCAATGGCGTCGAGCGCGAACAATGCCAACGCTGGTCGCCGACCGCCCCCTCGCAACGTCTCGTTCGCCGGCGGATCCGACGGCGAACTAGTCCTTAGTCCCGCCCAACTACGGTCCTAACCTTAAAAACAATGCGTGACTCGCGTTACCTTACCTTCCAATCGGTCATGTGATTCAATGAAACTCTGTTATCATGTGTGAAACGTTTCCGCAAAACACTCTACGGATTTGTAATTTATTTGCACGTCTCATAATAGTCTTACTGGAATCTATGGTAAAATAACTAACATAGTGTCATAAATTAGTGTTTCAAACAATGAATAAAAAAAATCTTGATTTACTTTTATGATTTTTTACAAATTCTCTAAGTATTACGTCACAAAAAATGTTACAAAGGAGTGTTTACATTTTCTACTATTACTTACGTTGCTTCTAATCTGTGGACGCCTTTAACTATTTTACAGTAGATTTCGTGTCATAATATATCTAACTCTAAGATTTAATCTTAATTCTGTAGCGATTTAATACTGAATGTGCTAGATTCACTGTCTATAAGTCAACTAGTTACGATCGACGGGGTGTGAATTTGTAGAAAAAAAAACTACCAATCTGACAATTTTGAGGGACTGTGGTATGATGATGAGTTACACCAGGTTAAGTTTTTTGCGTTTTTTTTATTTTGTTCACAGTGCAGTGATAAAGAAACATATAATATCTACATACACAGATTAAAACCATTATGTTCTTAAATAAAATTGTTAATCTAATGATTGTTAGTACATACAGCAGACGTAGGTATATTGCAGGAAAAAAACAAAAGCAAGCAAATTCACATCACGGCCGTGTTCGAATCTAAATCTTTAATAAATTATTAACTAAATTGTGTTAAATTGCCTACTATTAGACGCGAATTTATATTTAAATACTTAAAAACATAAAATAGATTTATAACTGACAATAATGATTGTTAACTGATGTATAAAATGTTATGGCGTGTGTGCGTTAATTTTATTTAGTTACGTCCAACAATATGGATGTAGTTCAAGCGTCAAGTTAGTAGATTAAAAACTGAAACAAGAACTTGCATAAATATGTTTTTGACAGATAAGCTTCACAGTCGTTTCGTAAGGTTGTGGTTTAAATTTTATTACGATTCATCTATCCATCGAATTATGTATATCGTAAAATAATTTTACATCACTAAACGGTTTAACTATGTGGATATAAATAGCCTGTAAAATTACGAATTAAAATTAAAGAGGATGTTTACGAAACTTGAAGAGTGATGTTGTGTAAAGTTTTTTATTTATTTTATCATCGAATATTTTTTTCAGGTTTAAGCACACGCTTATTACACAATCATATTAAATTGTGAAAAGTTAACAAATTCTTTGGACACGACTTCTCGGGTGCTTCGAAAAAAAAAGATTGAAGTTGCGCTATTTGATTGAGAGGATTACTGAAGAATATTGTAATAACTAATATAGGTCAAAAGTTCGAGTAGCCAATGGTTATAAGTACAATAAAAAAAAATAAACGCCAGAAAGAAAATTATGCGTTTAAAAGTATCATTTAATTTTTAATCATCCTATTAAAGAAAAAAAAAATCCAATTAATAATTAACCAAAAACACACTTGGAATCTCCATAGAGATTAACTTACACCAACCACTTAAAAATTCAATTAAAACTATTGTTCAACCAAGTCAAATATATTTTTTTTAAGTCTTTTATTTATTTCACTTACTCAAAACAATACTTTAGTAGCTCGTTGCCGTCCATCAATGCTTTTATCTCGCTGGTCACACACACAAAATACTAGCGATATCTTGCCGCGTTATCAACATTCGGCTTAAAAGCAAGGCTTAAGATGGAGATAGTTATGCTTTTGTCTAAATAATATTTATAAATGAATTCTTTCCGTAATTTTTTTTTCTCAAACTCCGCTGGTAGCCTAAGGGGATATTCCAGCTAAACTCTGGCTGATAGGTGAGCTTATATGATGCTCTACCTGAGAGAGTTAACTTTTACGCTATCGACAACGTTAAAAAACTCGCACTAAGCACACTGTTCTTCGCAAAATCTACCATCGGATCGGAATCGCGACCCATTGAGAAGATCCGGCGAGTGGTTGATTAGTGGGTTATGCCTATGGATTTTGTACAAATAACTTTAGAAGTAAACATTATTCTTCGTCGGCTGTCGTCACAATATCCTACTTGACGTTTGAACTACACAGACACCAAATATATAAAATATATAGTTAGCTAATTACATAAAATTGGTGTATAGTGAGTGATATACTGTTTGACAGTCATGTTTTTTATGTGTAAGTAATTTAAAAAAAGTAATAAATATATATATTATATTAATTATAATGTGTGTTTACGCGTGCATTGTATATTGCACAGAATAGTATAATGTTTATAAATATATTGTAACAATGATATATTTTAGAAATATTTGCACCTTTCGTAGTGAAATATTAAATTGTATAACCGCAGATTTTAACTAGGATATTGGAGTCGAGACACAAAATTAATAGTGTGTGTTTTTAAAATAAAACGTGTTTAATAAGTTTTTATTATCGAAACCAAAATATAAAAAAGAAGAAATTGTCTATGAAATAAAACATTTTGATTCGTTTTTGTCAATTATACCTTTGTAATGACATGAAGATGTAGTTTATTTGAATTATTTAAATCTAAGGATTGTCAATTACTTACTGATTATTTTTGATATAAGATTAGCGTTGCTGTTTATTTTTGTTGTCAATATGAATTGCTTGAAAATGTAATACCATCTAACATTCTTTTGAAGTGAAGAATGAATTGATTTATGCAAAATACCAAAAATAAATAACAATACCAAAATTACCAATGTATTTAAAATGTTGAAATCGTATGCAAACAATTTTTTAAGTTATTTTTTATTCCAAATTAAAGACGAATAAATACAAAATAGACTAACCCTAACAATAATTTATGTAACTAATCTATATACATAAATTATTTCGTAGAGAAAAATTAATTTGCGTTGATGCCTAATACATATAATTTCTACAAATTTATTAACTGACGCGTTAAGTTAGTATCATTTAAAAAATATATATATTACAACACCAGATTTAAACATAGATTTACGTAAATAGGTGGTAAGAAAAAAATATGAGCTTCATTTAGACTAAATGGCTTACGTAACAGAGTGTTGTGTACATTAACGAAATAATCGACCATCAAACATCATTTTCTTACTTCATCGTCTAAAAAGATAATTGAATTCGTAATTTACAACAAAAAATATGCTATATCATTTTAAAGTAAAACCTGATACTGAAATGAGTTTTTGAATTACGTCTCTGGCTTCTAAAATAATGAAGTATACAGTCTTGATATTTATATACTATATGCGAGTACCTATATTTATGTTATACTAACACGTTTTCTGATACTTGATAGCAAATTGGAGGCATCGTTAAATACGTAAGAAAACCGCTGTTATTTTATTTTTTAATTACATTAACAGCACAGACAATGAAAATTTTTCTATTTATTTCTGATTGCGGATAGACTGAACTCAGCTACCGAAATTTTACTTAACGCATTAATGGCTTCAGAAGAACTGATGCATTTCAGCTTAATGACGTCAGTAGTGGGCGATTTGAAACTTTTTTTTTTGCGTGTGGGCTATATTATTTTAGGCTGTGCTTCTTTGAATCAAGTGACGCCTTACAGAGAAGTGAGAGACTACACACAGATTACTCATTAAAGTTGAGAGGATATTTTGTAACGACGAAAACGCGCACACAAAACTGGTAACAGGGTTCATTTAGTTTATTTACTGACAGACGGATTCCCGTTTACCAAACTCAAATTTTACGATAAACCTTTATAAGTTCTACCATCAACGAACGTATATTTTACTAAGGGAAATCCGTCAACACTTTTATTGGACTATAAATAAATCGATATAGTAATGAATTCGTCGAAATTTCGTGACAACAATCTGCGTACAACTGTCAAAATCAATGTTCGAAATAAAATATTTTTCACTTCGCCAATTCATATCGCTTTCAACTAATAGTATGTTTTCAGCTTTCTTAAGAATTCGAAGCGTTTTATTCTGTTGATTTTAATATAACTCTGCTTTTATAACGTTGAGAGCATCAGCTGACGACATTAAGATAATTTTTAACCACATAACTTAATGGCAAATTGCAAAATGACAGTTATAACGCAATGCTTAAAGGATACATAGGCGTTTGTCTGTTTTTTTTTTTGGAATCTACTTCAAAAGTTCATTGTTAAATAGGGCATAGCATCTAAAGGTCGTATTGTGAGCTCACACGGGTAACTTTTAGCTTACTGCCTATTTCTAAGCAGTCAGCGTTGTGGTTTAAAGTATGATACCTATTATAGCCGTCATTATACTATCGAGCTCTCGAAGGTGTTCACGTTTGAGTGTTTATGGGCGTCAATATAGACTTCAAAATTGCCCGAGAATATTTATGACGCGACTGATCCAATGACATGCTATCTGCGGCGGTAGTCATCACGGAACACAAGATATTTGACAGATGCCTGAATCTCGCTAACGATATTTTCAAGATAAGCTTGCATGCTCGTATATGTATACAAGTTCTGAACAACAACATTAGGAGTGACGCTATACTGAGCAATATCACCCGCTCGGTGGAAGATCTTTCCATTCGTTGTATTCCTACATAATGGTACTGGTGTACTGGAACATGGAGTTATGTTTAAATAAAGCTCATTTCTGGCCTTGTTTAGAGTAGGTAGTCCTCCTATCTCTGGACCGGAGCTCCCAAAAACTAGCTGCTTCCGTTTTAATCTATACAAGAAGATGGCCATTCCGACTATTGATAACGCCGTACCCACGGATCGTTTGCAACAAATCAGTATACGAACGAACTTCGATTTTCTCTGTAATTTTGTACCCTATATTCTCTGAGAAATGCTCTCTAAGATTATTGGAGACGATCCCGTGTTTACTTTTTACTATAGCACCGCCCGCCACCTGACTAGAGTACATCCATATTACCAAAAACCCGTTGCTTTGTACAGTGCGATTCCATTAGATCGATTTTATTTGTGAACTTTCCATGGGGTTTCGTGAGGGCTAGGACACATCTTTCTTCAAACGTGAGGACACTCGACAGTGATAGGCAGCATTGCTGACGTCCATGTATGCTAACCTTTCTACAAATGTATAAAACGTATTTAACACCCGTGCGGACCCACAAAGCGTTTTGTGTAGTTAGTAACACCGTTTTTTTTTCAAATTTTGGCGTCTGACTTTTATAGCACGATGTTTTCTTTTATCGTTCGTGAAATAATTTTAGATACGTATTTACACTTGCAATTGCTACCTAGCGTAGCATTCAAACCGCAGCAAAATTACGGACAAGGATTTCAAAATATGACTCAAACTATTATTTTAGTGATGTGAAATACCCACTAACATACCTTATAAACATGTTTTTTTTTCATTATCCTAATATTTCGACCACACGATCGTGGTTCTTAATCGCAGGTTATTCAAACAATTGTTTATTTCGTCTGATGTTTATGTTAAATTAATGGCAAATGATTTTCCGTTTTAGCTGTTCATTTATTTAAATTTTATTAAACTTACATTAAGTTTTGTTCGCGTATATAAATACACGTGCTTCCATATGGCTTGCATTAACGAACGTTTAATTCATGTTTCCTATATAAGTGCTACTTCATAGTCTAATAAAATAGTTTTATTTGATAAGCTTGAATTAAGTTTGTGGCCTAATTTTGTTCCACGTTATGATGATACTCTGATTAACTGTTGTAACTATACTTAAGACCTTATATCTCAAGGTGGGTGGCGCATTTACATCATTGATGTCTATGGGCTCTAGTAAGCGCTTAACACCAGGTGGGCTGTGAGCACGTCCACCCATGAAAGTAATAAAAAAAAATCATCACATAAACATTTTTTTTAGTATTGAGTGAAAATTTATTTTAATTTAATTTATTGTGAACAATTGATATATGATATACTGACACTGTACATAGTTGAAATTAACAAAATAAGAAATATAGCTGTTCGCTGTTCAAAAATTGTTTTCGAAATTACTTTAAATTACTACGAAATATCCAAATGAAATTTGTACTACCTATTTATGACTACAAAAACTAACAACTGAGTGATATAACATCTATACACACGGAGCACTGATATAATCGTAGGAATATCATATTCACGCTATAAAAATATTTTAGTAAAAAAGGACACATTACCCCGAATTGCTATTCGCTAACTTGCTTAAATTTTGAAGTCGGTTATAAATTCGATCGCTTCCAGAAATGATTAAGGTTTGCAGAATCATTATCAAAGGAGTGAAATCAAAACGTGGATTTAAAAAATATAACTTTAACAAATACTTTTTTGTAAATATAAACTACTCTAGTTTAGCTACAGCTTACATTATAAGTAGCTTTAACAGTGTTAGAAAATACAATAGTAATGAAACGCAATTTTTTTACTGTATTTAAGTTACGTGTAGATACTGAATATGGACGTAATATAAATTATTTAGTTGTACAATACGATGTTTTTCAAAGAAAAGTACCTATAGTAAGTTGCGCCACAGAACATTTTATATTATTAATATAATTTATTCATTTTGTAAAATATGT